ATATAATGCAATAAAACCGGGACCAGACAGGCAGGGTGAGCCTTGGGTCACTCGCTCACGTCCACGCAGCAAAGTCCCAGGAGCGACTCTGGGAATATTTCAACCCATCGGACTGTAGCAGCGCCTCCAAAGCGCTCCCCAGGCACCCTCCCAGCGTGACACGCAGCCCCAGTACGGCACTGGGAGGGACAGCAGTGGGCTGTGGGCGCTGGCTGCACCGTGCAATCGCTGACGGGCGACGTGTGGAAGCTGCTACCCTGCCGCCCAGCACCCAGGAACCGCTTTCCCTGGCCGGGACATCCCAAACTCCACGAACCTCCACGACCTTCTGCAGCAGCGCCTCTTTTTCTGCCCACACCTTCTCCTCCAGCTCCCCCAGCAGAGCCTCCACCATTTTTTCTGTCCTGTGGATCTCCTCCTGGGAAGGGCAGGAAGCGGTGCACAGGAGCGTTAGGCGCGATAATCGCGATAACGGCTGCGTTCCTTCCTCCCTGCCCTCCCCTCCTCCCTGCAGCGCCGCGGGGGAGCAGAGGTCCCCTCACCTGCTGCTGCTGCTTCAGGCTCTGGATGCGGTGCTGCAGGAGCACTGTCTGGACGGCTTGTGCCGGGAACTGCCCATCGATGTAGGTCCGCAGGATGCTGAGCTCGTCCTGGAGAGCCTCCACCTTTGCCGTGAGCTCGGCCAGCTGCTGCTGCAGCTCTGCAAGTCGAGCAGAAGAGCTCAGCCCCGGGGTTCCAGAGCTTTGCTCTTCACGGAGCCGAGGAGCCCAGCATTGCCTGAGCCCGTCCCGAGACCCCACATCCGAGGGAAGCGGGACAGCCTGGGTCAGACCACCTTGGCCAGGTCCTGCCCCGAGGCACGATGGTGCAAACATCTGCCAAGAGCTGCCCAGGAGGCGATCCCCCGACCCCCCCGCGCACGGCTGCCGGCCGTCCCAGGGCTCCCTCCTCCCGCTAGACTGACGGGATCCCCACAGAGAAGCGGGATTCCTATTCGTAAATGGAATTGTTTGACATTTGTAAGATCAACAGAGTGTCTGTAACCTAATAAGACGGAAAGCAAAGGTGACACGATTGTATAGAATACATTTCATTGCAATGTCAGCAACTCACTCCCCAGATTCCTCTCCATCGTTTTTTCCATCTCCTGGAGCTCTGCCCTGGCCGTATCCAGCCGGTTCCGATGGACCATCTGCACCATCGCCTGCACCCTCTGCACAGGGAGAAATCTGGTCACTGCTCATTCCACAGAGCTCCAAAATGTCCCCTGCGCCAGCCCTGACCTTCCTCTTGCGTGCTGTTGCAGCACAGAGGAGCCCATCGCTGCGGCTGGTGCCAGCCCGGGCCTGGAGCCGCTCTTCAGGATCCGGCCGGAGCCACGGGCATCACGGAGGGAGGGATTTGGGGTGTCACGGGGTGACTGCTGTTCTTGGGACAGTTACAGCCAGGGTGCCCTCGTGGCTTTAAAGCACAGGCACAGAACAAGAGCATCTCGTGGGATCATTGGGCATCAGAGAGCTCCCCCCGGGACTGGGGATGCTCCAACCCCCCCAGTGCAGAGGATGGGACGGGCGGCACCTGACCCTCCCCACGGCTAACGGGAGGAGCGGGTGGTTCTGCTGAGCTGCATCTGCTGGCCACCCCCACCTGAAATCCCTCGTACTGCTGCAGCAGGAGCCGCGCCTGCCGCGCCGTGCTCTGGTCCGTGTGCCGGATGGCCCTCGCCAGCTGGCTGTTGGCCTCTGCCAGGCGGGCGCTGCGCCACTTCAGCTCCTTGATGGCGGTTTTCTTCAGATTGCTCAGATTCTGCGTGAATTTGGGGATTAAAGTGTTGGGGACTCCGCCAGTCCCACCTGCCCCGAGTTTTCTCACCACCATCTGCCGTCCCTGGGGTATCCCAGCACCAACAAGCCCTGGCCATCCCAGTACCACCCAGCAAACCCCAGTGTCAGGCACCCTGACTCCCCCATACAGCACACCTCCGCTCCCACCATCCGTACCACCCGCCGCAGGGTCACCGTCTCCTTTATCACCTCCCTTCACCTGCTAAAAGTCTGCGGTCGTGTCTCCCACCTCAACCTTTGCTAGACTGAGAAAATCCCGCACCCACGGCCTTTCCCCAGATCTCCTCCCTCCCCCTGCTCCCGCCTGGGCTCTCTCTTAGTTTCTCTCAGTTTTTCTCGACGGACAACATGGAGGTTGGATTTCCCCAGCATTAGGCAGAGCAGCACCATCACCTCCCGCGTGTTGATAACCCAGCTCGTGCCGCTTTGCAGCCCTGGATCGGCAGAATTCCCACCAGAACGGCAGCCGGGGTGCCTCAGGGATCTGCTCCCTGTCTCCCAGCCCTGGGCATCTGTCACACGTACCACGGTGACCTCGATCTCCTCCAGGGTCCGAGCTAACTCATCCTGCTTGGGCGCTGATTTCCCCGGAGAACTCCTGGGTTTCTCTGGGGATGACGATGTCCCCGGAGGCAGGGGTGGCTTTTTCCTCAGCATAAACCCAGCTGGTGAAACAAGCAAAAAAAAAAAAGTCCTGTGCTTATTTCCCAGCCGAGTTTCAGCGCTTTGTACCTGCTCTCCCCTGCCATGGGTGGCTGTGGGAAATATAAAGAACAACCGAGAGCCTGAACGCAGACCTCTGCCCCCCGACACGAGCAGCTCGTGGCACAGCTCTGACCTGAGCTCATTCCCCTCCTTACTCCCGGCATCTCCCCTCGGGGAATTCCCCTTCTGGGGCTCTTGCTGAGCGTCTCCCGCAGAAAGCGCTGGGCTCCCGCAGAGGGTCCCCGCGGGTGGGGACAGCAGGGGGCTGTGAAGGGGTCTCTCCCCCCCTGGCCGGTCCGCCTCCCGTCCTCGCCGTGGAGCGGTGGCAGTGTCACCCTGCGGGCTGGAGACCTCTGCTTCTGTCTTCTGCCACTTGCTGTGACCCTGAACCCGTGCAACAGCAGCACGGGACAGACGGGGGGTCAGAAGGAGTTTGTGAGCAGAGACCCCCCCCAGCTCTGTGTGACCCCAGCATGGGGCTGAGCCCCCCGAATTCTGTATGACCCCAGTGTAGGGGCAGAGCCCCCCCAATTCTGTGTGACCCCCGTGTGGAGTTGAGCCCCCCCAGCTCTGTGTGA